TAATGTAAATTTTGTAAGTTTGGAGTTGTAGAGCAGCAAGTTATAGTCAAGTTTTAAAAATATATATTAAAATGGGCTTCGCATACATCCTCACGCTTGGCGGGCTGCGAGGCGGGCGTTATGTCAGGCAGGCCCTCGCCCGAATTTCGGTGCATCCTGTGCCAAACCGGCTCGGCCCGCCCCCGCCGCCCACGCACAGCCCCTTTCTCGACCAACGCGTTGAGTATATATAGCAAGACCCGTCTTCCGAATCATCAATCTACTCTCATCTTCAGTTCCGAGCAGATCTCCAGCTCCTCCTCGACACCATGCAGTACCTCAGGGTGAGTACCACAAGGCCGCCCCCGATACAGGCCGGAGGGCCGGAGTTTTGGCCAACTGTGCCTTTACGTGGCTTGTTCTTACTTTTCTTATGTTTTGTTCCGGGGTCAGGTCGTCGCTGTCCTCGTGGCGCTCGCCGCCGTGGCCTCCGCCTACCCGGGCTTCATCCCAACCGCCTACGTGGCCGACCACGGCTATGCCCAAGAAGAGTACGATGTAAGTCTTCTACCAGTTCTTCCCCTTTATTAGTTGGGCTCCCCTCTCTGACGGATCTCTTCTCGTGTCTGCAGTCCCACCCCAAGTACGCCTTCAAGTACGGAGTGCACGACGCTCACACCGGGGACGTGAAGAGCGCCTCCGAGCACCGCGATGGCGACGTGGTCAAGGGCGAGTACTCCCTGCTCCAGCCCGACGGCACCACCCGCACCGTGCACTACACCGCCGACGACCACAACGGCTTCAACGCCGTCGTCACCAACTCCGGCCACGCCGTCCACGCCGCCGCCCCCGTCCTCGCCCTCAGCCACTACTGAGGACAACGGACGCCGCGCCGTTGACAAACGCTCACTGCAGTACCAAAGAGAGAATAAACAGAGCTTATTATTTTTGCCGTAAAATCTCGTGTGCTTTGTCACCCCGAGCCCCCCGGGCGACGACGTCGCCGTTGCAGCGCCCGGCTAATCTTCGGCGCGACCTTGCTCGACGTCGTGCTCAAAGAAAACGGGGTTGGGTTGGGAAAAGGATGAGGTCGTCTGCTGCTGCTGCTGAGTTGAAAAGGGACCTGCTGCTGGAGCAGAGTTGGGTGGCAGCAGCCCGTAAGGGGGGAGAGAGGCGGGGGGTATTCAAGGGGCACAAAATACGGGCAATTGTTCGTGTCCGACAATGACCTCTATAGGCGGT